GCTCTGCTTGGGCAAGCTCCAAGCCTCATCTGTAAAATGGGAAGAATGATGCCCTTCCCTCGCAGGATGGTCGTGAGGATTCAATGAGTCACGTGTACAAAACACTTAATAAGTGCCGGGCTCACGACACGTGCAAAGTCAAAGTGAGATGTTATTACCTTTCCAGCCCCATAGAACTATGGTCCATAGGCAACCATATTAAGCAACAGACGTCTTCGGGCCTTTGTGAGTAAGGCTGTGCGTGCGTGCATGCGTGCACATGAATGTGGGGTTTAAAGGTAAAGAAGCCACCGGCCTGTCCTGCAGGCACCGGCATCTGGTGGCCAGGCAGTTGTGGACGAGTGCCGCTCCCCACTGTGTTCAACTCCCATGGTTAATAACCTTGCAAGATGCGGGCTGTGGCTCATTCTCCCTTCCTCGGCATCTTCGGGCAGGTTTTTAATTTTAAGCAGGAGAAAACCCATCAGATATTTGAGGCTCCTGGGAGGCAGCTAATGCTTCCTGTCAAATGCGCACCCTGGGGTGCTTTGTTAGCCTGACGCCTCCCGAACACGGAGTCAGCGGCAAATTGCAGGACAAAATTCTTATGCTGCAAGTTTATTGCATATTCATAGAATTGAGGCCATCAGGCAACATTAGCTTTTTTCAAAAAACTTTTTATTGGAGTATAACCTACATTCAGAGAAGCACACCTATCCTAAGTGTCCAGCTTGATAAATTCTCACGGCTGAAAGCACAGATGTGGGAGCAGCCAGGTCGGGCCACAGGACAGCGTCAGTCCCCACGGAAGCCTCCTCATGCCCTCTCCCGGTCTCTGTGTCCCCTGGGGGGGGGGGGGGATCCTGACTTGACACAGGGAGCCGCTTTCCCTGTCTTTGAAGCTCACATAAACGAAATCATACCGCATGTGGGATGCGGTTCTTCTGCTCAACATTACGACGGGGAGGTGTGTCCGCTGTGTGGCGTGTAGTTGCAGTGTGCTCATTCTCACTGCCGTGGAGTGTTCCAGTGTGTGACGAGTCCCCCATTTCTTCATCCTTCCCTCTAGGGATGGGCTTCGCGGCGGGTTAGCCTCGCTGGGGACATTCTAGTGCATGCCTCTTAGTGCACACATGTAACACCTGCTGTGGGTGGACACCGGGGAGTGGAACTAAGGCTATACATATATGTTCAGCTTCAGTCGATAAGGCCAGACGGTTTTCCATAACATCAGCTCTTCATTCCTAAGGCTGAACACATCAAAGAAAGGAAAAAATATAGTTAAAAAATTTTTGATACCTTGTATATTCTGAAAAACTGTTGTGGGAGAAATTAGCAAAGTGGCAATGAGAAAGGGAAATGTCGATTTTAACCTGTGAGGTGAGAAACTTCGGAGGTGCTTTTAAAAAAGTGATCTGTTCCATCTGCTCTGCGAGCTCTGTCTGCCAGAAGCTTCCCCCGGCTCTTTCTTGTGGAAACAGGGGCCTAAAGCACAGACTTTACTGCGCACACGGACCTCCGGGGATCTTGTTTAAATGCAGATTCTGAGGTCTGGGTGGAACCTGTAATTCGGCGCAAGCTCCCAGGTGGTGTGGATGCTACTGGTCCAAGGACCACACTTTGAGTAACAAGGGCCACTCACTCTGGGGGTGACTGTCAGGCTCTTTGTGATCAGACTGTCCCCTCACTGGGTCCATCCTCTTCACAAGCACAGAGGTTGCATCCACTGGCCGGCACGGGGATAGAGAAATGGGGGGAGGCCTCCAGGCAGTAGCGCAGCGTGGCAAGAAAGCAGCGAAAGAACTGCGCTCTGGAATCTAAAAGAACAGTGATCGTGTCCTGGCTTAGCTTCGCTGTTTGTGCGCCCTCGGGCAGGATACCTAACCATCCTGAGCCTCGGTTTCCTCTTTCGTGAAATGGAGTAATAGTACACCGTAGGCGTGTTGTAGGGAATACCTGTGGGGTGCCGGGCACACGCTGGGCTGCTGATAAATGCTGGTTATCATTATTCCTGATGTGATCTCAAATAATTTTTTAGGTAGGCGAGACAAAAATACACGCAATTATGCAAGTATATGTGCATACAAATTCTTCCAATAAAAATAATAATTGCCACAAGCAACATGTGTGTGTGTGTGTGTGTGTATAAGATACTGTGGGCAGGCAAAGGAAGGGGGATAACTTCTCTCTGGAAGGAATGAGAGAAGGCCTTACAGAGGAAGGGACAATGGGTTTTGAAGGGCAAGCAGGAGCCTCCAGGCAGATAAGGCCGAGGAAGGCTAGGGGAAGGGATGGCCATTCCATTATGTGGAATGGCATGTGCGAAGGCACAGAGGCATAAGATTGTTCATGAACTTCTGGGTCTAGAGAGGCTGGAAAGTGCCATGTGGCAGGGAGAGGCTGGCTGCTGAGGTGGGAAAGCCTAGATCCACAACTCAGCAAAACTATGAAGAAGGCTATGGGCCCCTGGCCGTCCTTTCTGGGCCTTTCTTTCTCCTTCAAGGAAACATTTCTGGTCAGGGACCCCAGGACTGGATTTAGAATTGGGGGCTTGCAGTGTGGTTGGGGGCCTGGTTGCTTACACCACTACCTGAAAGTCCCAGGGGGGTTGGGCAGGCCTCACACCCTGGATGGGCCCTGTGCTGCCCATCCACCCCAGCAGGACGAGTTGCCCATTGAGACACCCCAGGCCTGAGCCCAGAATGTGACCCTCAGCCGCCCCTCAGGGACAAGGAGACACCCTTCCGGTGTGCCCGAGCCCAGGCAGAGCAGCGCTGCTTCTGCCCACTGTCACCTCCTCCGCCGAGGAGTGTGCGGCACAAGCCAGGAAGCGGAGGAGGCTGTTGGGTTTGGCTCCCGCAGGTGGGCCTTGGGCCAAGGCATTGTGTCCAGCCAGCCCTTGCTGGAAGATAAACTGCGACACGCAAGTCCCAGTGGCCACTTGGGAGGGAGGATCAACAAGGCCTCTGAACCCCGAGCCAGGGCCAAACCAGCCTCTCTGGCCTGTCCTTGCTGTCTCCCAGGACAGGAGACACTTGGTGAGACAGGGGTGGCTGGAGACCCTCTACACAGGGGCTTTATACATTCTTGAGTTTGAAGTAACTGAACTCTTTTGCTGAACAAAATCATATTTATCTGTAACCCCAGTCCTCAAATCGGCTAATGGTGGGCCAGCTCTGGGAGAAGCAAGGTGCAGGCCCACACCTGACCTGGACCTCCACCAGCCCCCTGCGTACCCTTGGGTCCCCGACACAGCTTTCAAAACCATGACCTCAGCCGAACCCTTCACTCTGCAGTTGAGGAAACCGCTGCCCTGAAAGGGCCGGAGAGGTCAGAGAGAGGCAGAGGCCGCACGACCCGAGGTCAGCTGTTGCTCTGGGCCAGGCTTCCAGATAACGAAGCACCTCGGTCCAGTGCTCAGGGGTGGGGACCGGAGGCAGTTTAGGTCCCCTGATCCTGAAGTTCCCTGATCTCACCAGTCCCCTGATCAGAGCCAGAGCCGGGCCGGATGCTGCCTGCCTTGCGGGACCACTGCCAGGAGCAAGGGCTGAGGCCAAGGGGATGCTGAGCAGTGGTCCCCCGGGAGGCCTTCCTATCTCCCTGAGCTCCAGCCAGCTCTGTTCCTCTCCCTGCCAGTGCAGAGACCCCTCCACCTCCTGGGGGCACCTGCTGGACAGGCCCCTTCCTTCCAGTGTCTGCTCCTTGGGCGGCCCTCTGATTCCCCTCCCTCTCGCCCAGCCATTAGACGGGAAGCTGCTATATTAATGTCCCTTCTTTATTCTGAGCAGGCCAGCGGTATCACTGCCAGGTTTCTCCCCCTCCTAATGATTTGTCCTGGCAGCAGAAATATTACAGCGATGATTTCATGTAGAATTTCATTTGCTGGTTTTTTTTTTAATCCCTTGAAGAAGGGGGTGAGCGATTAACGAGTCTTTGAGAGATCAAAGCTCTACGTGGCAAAGAGCGAATAATAATCTCAGCTAACATTGACTGGGGACTTCGCATGTGCCAGGTACTGTCTCACCGTCGCAACAACTCTTTGAGGTAGGCACCATCATTATTCCCATTACAGAGACGCAGAGGGGCCACCTGTGGCCACTGGTTGCACAACCCGCAGCGGTGGCATCAGGTTTGGAAGCTATGATGGCATGGCTCCAGTGTTCTGGATCACCTGTTCTGCCACCTCCCGAAGGCGTGGGGAGAGCACTGGATTGGGAGTCCAGGAAACTGGACAAAATTAGCTCTCAGGCCCCTGCCCACCCTGCAAGCGAGCAACCAGAGGTCAGGCCAGATGGCAGTCACCAGGGAGCCTGGGGTGTTCTGTTTCTGCAGGCCTGCTGAGCGGGCACCAGGCGGACTTCATGTCGTTCCTGGTGGTGCCTCGGCAGGGCTCGTAGGCCGCACAGGAGCCTGGACCCCATCACTCTTTCACTGTGTGAGCAGGTCATTTTGTGCCTCAGTTTCCCCATCTCCTTTGACAGGAGATAATAACAGCTATCATTTGTGCTTGGAGCTTTCCATGAAATACGTCTCTTTCTCATGGCAACCCCCAAAAGGAAGGTATTATTAACCCCTTATATGGATGAGGAGGCTGAGGCTCGGAACTCACTGCCTTGGCTCAAGACACACAGTCAGTGGTTGAGCAGCTTCCAGCCCAGACCCCTTTAGATGCCAAAGTCCAGGCTATTTTCCACCGCCGTAGCTCATTTCCTTGAAAAGAAAGTGTCTACCACGTGCCAGGCACTTCTTGAGAATGATCTCTTTTTTTTTGCAATATCCTTGAGAGAGAGAGGGGGTCATGATTATGACCCCCATTTTACAGATGATGAAACAAGTTCAGAGAGGTTTTGTAGGTTGTCTAAGGTCACACAGTTCAGTGGTGTTAGGTCTGGTTTTCAAACCTGGGTCTGTCTGCCTCCAAACCTCCCTCTTTCCATGATGTCATATGTATGGAATGGTAGTTAACTAAATGTGACAATTTCCTACAGGAGATCACCTGACTGTTTGCTGTCTCCCAGGGAGCAGAGAACAGGGAGTGTTTTAAAGCTGTAGTTGGCAGAAGTAGACAAGCCACTTGGAAAAACCTCTGACTGTAAGGCTCCGGAGCAAGAAGCCAGCAGGGGCTGGGGAACTTGGTTCATCTGTCTGTCCATCCATCCATCCATCGATCCCCAATCTTTGAGGAGAGATCAAGAACACTGGGACATTCTGCTGGCCTGTCTGCTCGGTAAGTCTGTGTCACCTGTGTTGGATGTGACCTCAGGGAAGGGGGGTGCCTCTGTGCAAGGTGTAATGATGCAGGGCAGCCTCAGGCCCCATCAATGGGGGAGGTTCTTCTCACTGCGTCCTCCCCTGCCCCCCGGCGGCAGAAGGCATGGAACATTCAGGAATATTCTAGAGGTTGGGCTGTCTGGACACTTTCATCTCAGGGAAAGGCCCGAGGCTGGAGAACCTGGAGTGGGGAGAGGGGTTGGCCATTTGCTGGGGTGATTCGGGCAGCCTCCCACCCTTCTGGGTCTAGGATTTGCACTGGGGGGAGCCCCACTTCGTCTCTCCCTCTCATGCCTCTGTCTGTGTGACAGAAGGGAACTAGGGTGTGGTGGGGGGAGGGAGAGGAGCAGGAAGATGGTTTGTCCAGGAATCCCACTTGGCATTTGTGGCTGCTGGTTCCACTTCATTGATCTGATTTTCCCCAGATCGCCAGCCTTGAATGAAAGATCTGAAAGATTGCTCAGGGCATTTCGGGGGTTCGCCCAGCAGACCCTGCCCAAGAACCTCTGCCCGCTTCGGATTCTGGTCCCAACCTGCACAGTGCTCCAGACCCTGCAGCATGAGCTTGTTAAACTTGGTTCCCCGCTTTTCCTACACTCTCCACACCACTGGCCCCCTCTCTCCACGCTGCTTGGCCCCCGATTCCCTTTGAGAATCTTCTGCAGCTCTCAAAGCTTTACCTGCTGCTTCTCCAACTGCTTGACCGTGAGGCCTCTGTGGTGGCAGCCAGTGTAATTCAGTTCAGCAAATATTTACTGGGCCTGACCTGTGCCAGGCACCACTCGAGGCCCAGAAGGCAAAGGTGGCTTGCAGCCAGCGGCCTGGGTCTGAAGCTTGACTCTGCCATGGCTGGCTGTGCAGCTCTGGCCCGAGGGACTTCTGCTCACTAACCTCACCTATGGGGAGGCTGCCCTGTGCGTCCCCTTCATGTGTGCTAGCTTGGTGAGCCCTTATAAGACCTCATTTAGGTCAAGTTAATGCCCATTTTACAGATGACAAAACTGAGGCTTGAGAGCCTCTCATTTACCCCGGTTCACCCAACCAGTGTGGCAGAGTTGAGATTTACACTCACATGGATGTGATTTCACGATCTATATTTCTACAATGTTCTGTTGACTCACTTGGGCCAGTCAATTTCCCAGAGCCTCAGTTTCCTCAGATGTGAAATGAGGACAATTTTATTAGCAATCTTAAATGAACATTGTGAGAATTGGATGAAAGCTTTGGGAAATGCTACCCAATGTGATTACGAGGTGGGGTCTCTAGGGGTCCTGGGAAGGTGCTCTGCTCTGTGGAATGATAACTGATCATATGACCGTATCCCGACCTCAGGAAAGCTCTTGCTGAGGAGGCGCTTGCAATATTGGCCACGAGGAGTGCTGGCTGGCCCCTTCCCCCACCAGCGTCCTATCGTGAGCCTGGGACCCCTTAACTGAACATTACTTCTGCGCTTTGATTCCTTAGAGCTCCACGCAGGTGTCCTGGGGAACAGGAGGGTCACATATATCACAGAATGTTCTAGGAGGCCCTTGAAGACGATCCAGTGAAAATCCAACCCTATCATAATACACAAGTGGAAGCTGAGGCCCAGAGCCGGGAAGGGGCTTGCCCAAGGCCACACAGCTGGTTAGCGGCAGAGCTGGGGTGACCAGGCGGCTGTTAGGACTCCTCCCCCAGCAGGATTTGTTGATCAAGTTCACTTTTCAGCGGCTCCAGCATGAAAGCACAAGGCCAGCGGAAGGATCTGGGAAAGGCCCCAGGGAAGGTGCCTGCAGGGGGGAGGGAGAAAAGTCAGGAGGGCTTGGCGGGGCCCAGGCACTGCCTTCTGAAGACCGTTGAATACTGGAGCTTATGTAATCCGGGGGATCCCCACACTGGCCAGGCACTCCAGGACGCCCATCTGTAGTGAGCCGGGAGTCTGGCACTGGAATCTGTTTATAAAAGAGCTCCCTGGGTTCCCAGAGTGCTCATTGCAGCCCAGCCCCTCCGTTTGACAGAGGAGCATCTCCAGGAGGAGCGGATCCCACTGTTCCCAGCAAGGGGCTCGGTCCCAGCCCCTTTCCCCGCCTTCACGTCTCCAGTTGACCAGAGTCCCCTTTGCCCACAGCCACCGTGGACCCCATAACAAACACACGGGGCCCAGGCCTGGAAGATCTATTAGTGCCACTCCTGTCACCGCCCGCAGAGCGGGAGGAGAGGCAGCCAAATGCTGTGCTAATTATTCTAGCTTCCAGCAGGGTCTCGGAGGTCCCAGCCATGGTAAATCTTAACTTTCATGCTATGGTGCACCGGGATGCAATTTACTTCAAAGAGAGCATAAATCCCCACTGCGGCGTGTATCAGAGGAGTGTTACATAAAAGTGGCCCATGTGCTTCCCACCCTGGCTGCCTTCGCTCTCTCCCCTCCCCTCCCTCGCTCTCTCCTTGTAAGTTTGAAAAAGCCAGCCCGCGGTTGGCTACACATCTCGCACGCAAAAACATTTACACACACGTCTGCTCCCAGCCTTATAAATCACCAGGCTTGGCGACTTGGCAGTGGGAACACAGGCGAGCTCTATTTTTACCAGCACAGTCCGCAGACAGCCCCCGGGGCCCCTCCTTTCCTTACAGTGACACCTACTGGTGCCAGCTTCGGCCAAAGGCAGACTTTCCTTTTCTGACCCATTTCTCAGGCTTTGGAAGATGGTAACTGATCCCTCTATTCCTCCTCTCTCAGCCCCCTCTAGCCTCTGGGGAATTCCTCCAGCAACAAATCCCCCACTCCCAGGAAGCCCCGCCCCGCTGCCACCCCCTCAACCGGGCTTGCCAGAGGGGCAGGCGGGCATCGCTGACATAATAATTATCTTCCACAGAGGCCAGCACAGCTCATTAGGATGTCAAAGGATCATGGGAATTGGGGAGGGGGGCTCCCTCCCTCTAATGCAACCTCCTGGGGGGTTGTCCAGTTGTGTTTCAAGCAATTATTTCTCCCTGAAAGACATCTGTTATCTTTGCTGACACACACGAGACTGGCGGCCGACGTGGTTTCTGTGAGGGGCTCGTGAATCCTGGCATTGTCATCACAGCCCGGCTGGGAACGAAGGGGGAGGGGTGAGACAGAGGCGAGTCTGTCTTCTGTCCCCCCGGCCCCTGCACCGGCCTCCTCCCAGCGACCTCTCCGGAGGCAGCCGTGCCAGGTCTAAAGCTCCTAATGTCATCTTTGCAGATCTATTTGTGATTCCTTGATGCTGTAATGACCGTGGCTCCGCTCTCCTTGCAGCCGCTGCCATTAGCTGGGCAGACCGCAGGCTGCGGTGCCATGGTCCTGGCAGCCTGGGGGGCCTCTGCGGGTTGCTGGGGGTGGGCAGGACCCTCCTGGCAAGCCCAGAGCTGCCCAGAGGCCCAGTGCAGCTGGCGGGGCTGGCTAAATGCTGGTGATTAGTGGCTTTCCCCTGAGCGTAACCCTTGGCGGTCAGTCGGCTGTGGAAAATGCCCATGGCAGGAGGGCAGGGTGATGCATAGTTCCAACTCGGCCACTGACACACTGGTGACCCTGGGCAAGTCACAATCCCTCTGAGCCTTGGTTCCCTCAGCCGTGAAAAGGATGAGGGTGGATTCCCCTGGCCCGAAGCTCCCTTCCAGCCCCGACTTGGGATCCCTCTTCTGTTATCTATCTCAAGACCTAGAAGTGTCTGTATAAACATTGGGTGCTTTTTCAGAAGCCCAGGCAGGCTACCAGGGGCATCCTAGGGACTGGGGCAAAAAGCAAAGACCCCAGAACCCTGCCTTGCCAAGAACTCTGGCCATAATCTCAGATATTTTATTGCTTTCTATTTTAACACTTCCCTTCTCAGGACAGAAGCCCTGGGCTGGAGTCACTGACTAACCCAGGCTGCATTCAGGCTTTGGGTGGATGCGGGGGAAGAGGAAGGAAGTGAAATGGCTTTGTACCTCCAACTTGACCAGGGCCCCTCCAGTCTAGATCACACCAACCCCTGGCCCACCAAGAAACCTGCCTTTCTCTCCCCACATTCTGTGCAATGGCAGCTACATTTTCTGCACCCAGAATGTGGCTGTCACGTGGCTCATCCTTTTCCATCTACTTTGGAAGAAAAGCTGAAGGCGGAGGGTCTGAAGGACTTTATAGACTCTCAGAAATGAGAGAAAAGAATTAGACGCTGAAAAAAGACAAAACAAAGTTTTGCACCTTGCTCTCCACTCCTTATCCTAAGCATTGCACTATTGCCACTGATTCTGATGGGAAAACGTTGCTCTAGTGTTCAAGTGACACTGAACACCTGGCTGAAGGTGAAAGTGCACACTGTTCAAGTCAGCCTCGTGGTGGTTTTGAAACATGGCAGAAAATTCTCTGATACTCTTCCAGTCGAGAGGTGGGTTTTACGGCCCCTCCCTTTGAATCTGGGTGGGCTTGTGACTGCTTTAATCAAAAGAACACTACAAGAGTGATGCTATATGACTTCCAAGACTAGGTCATAAAAGGCCATGCAACTTCTGCCTTCTTTGCTGGGACACTCATGCTTGGAGCTCCAAGCTGCAACGTGAGAAGGCTGACTACCGGCTGCCATGATGTGAGGAAGCCCAATCTACATGAGGAGGCCACATGTAGGTGCACCAACCATCCATCCCAGTGAGCCCAGACTTCAAGTCATTTTAGCCCAAGTGCCAGACAAGTCAACAAAAGAACCTCCAGATGCTTCCAGCTCCTAGCCATTGAGTCACCCCTCAGCCCTTCGAGTCTTCCCAGCTGAGGCCCTAGACATTGTGGAGCAGACTCAAGCCACTCCAGCTGCGCCCTGTCTGAATTTCTGACCCACTGAATCCGGGAGCATACTAAAATGATCGTTGTTTATACCACTAAGGTTGGGTGGTTTGTTAAACAGCAAGAGATAACAGGCACAGCCGCTGTAGCCCAGGGTCCTGCCTGACGTCCAGCCTAATGCATGGAGACATGGGCACCTGTTTTCCATAAAGGAAGCAGGAAGTTTTCTAGAAGACTGAGAATGGCACTGGGCCAAAGGATCTGCTGTGTGGGCTGCACACTTAGCCCCCCGCTGCAGAACTCTGCCCAGTTCCAGAGGGAGGCCGAATTGTGGGCAGGCCTGTCATTGTTCCCTCGGGGTTAGCATCGGTGTTTGAATGAGACCCAGGAGTTGGTGGCTTTCCTGGGGCTGTTCAAATCTCATTTCATTTCGTTGGGCGAAGGAAAGAAGGATGTCCCGACTCTGTTATTCTCCCCTGGTTTGTAACTTGGGCCTAAGAGGGATGGATGGCTTCCAGGGGGAGGGAGAATTGAGAGAGAGTGAGAGCAAGCCCACATGTTTTTGTGGTTTATCTGTCAAAGAACAGAGGACAAATTCCCACCCGGGCACCAAGGATGTCATCTGGCATTGTGACGTAGAAGGACTTGGCTGCCACTTTATAGATTCATGAAGGGAAGGGGGGCACATTTGGCTGCCTGTAACCGGAATTAGGCTGGTGCTCTGTGGCTCCTACAATTTACAAGGAAATCAGACCTGCTTTCTCCATCCTTTGGCACCATCAGAAGACTGACTGTGCATTCAATATTTAAGTGCATCGTGGGTTGTCCCAGGATGCATTTAAACATTTGCTGGAATTCATAATCATGGAATGAGATAATCACAGCTCAATTTTACATGTAATATTCAATCAGTGACAAAGTCTATTTGCTACCTGGAATTTGATGAAACTGTGTTGGAGTGATCTGTTTTTGATCCCCAAACTGTTTGGGAACCTAGATTGCAAAACCATTTGCCACAGAGTAAAAGAAAACAACTCCGACCTGAAAACACAAATCTTTTCAAGCTTGCTTTGACTTGCTGTCCATTGTAACTTAGCAATGGAAGCGGGGGTGGGGGTTGGGGCAGAGGGCGGGGTTTGGGCCTGTAATTAACTGATGTCCTTCTGGTACCCATCCTCTTTCCTTACTTCCTAGGAAGCTGCCACCTGTCTTCCAGCTGTCTGGGACTGTCTGCTGGAGCAAGTGACATCACAGTGACCAGAAACCACCTCCCCTTTGTCTGGAGCAGTTATGATGTCATTCCCTCTGGCAGAGAAGCAAGATGTTGGCAGCTGGGATTCCTCTGGGTCCTCCTGAAGTGATAATTGCCTTAGATTTTGTTATAAAGTGCAGCTGCTAATTATCTTGTTAAATCACAGCCATATACTTTTTGGAATTTTTTTTTTCCTTTGCAATCCATTTAAACAGTCGGAGAGATTAAATAAAACCACATACCCTAAACAAAAACAAAAACAACCCAGACGCGCACACAAAAATTGCTTCTTCTTTCAAACACCGTAAAAATAATTAAAAAAAAATGAAAAGGACACAGATATGGCATAATTAGATTGCTTCCATTAAAAAGTCGTCATTTCAACATCTTCATATAAATATCTGCATCCCATTGCATATTTTAAGCAATTGCATAATAAGCCCCCAAGTGAAAAAGAGAGCAAAACTCATTTCCTGACCACGAAAGGAGAAAGGAATCACCATGTGCGCTGAGTTCCAGGGAGAACTGGATTACATTCTTCCCACACAGACTGGAAGGAGATGGAGTTCATTGCTCCAGGGCAGAGAATTATGACAACACTTAACTGCTGGGACCCTGGCGGCTGCGCGCTGCTCCGTGCCTCTGCAGGCCATTGGCCATTAGAAGCGTGCACCTCCCACCGAGGTCAGAGGGAGGAAGAGGAGGACCTGGCCCCCTCCATTTGGAGAACCTGCCCTGGGTACCAGCAGCAACAGGTGAGGGAAAGTCAGGTGCAGCTTGAGCATCCTGGGCGTTTCCATGATTGGCCACCTTCAGGCTTCTGATTTTTGTGGTCCTGCTGGAAGTTTATCAAGCAGGGGCAGAGGTGGGAGCCGGGCGTGGGCATAGCCTATGAGCGGTGGTGTCCAGGCAGGCCAAGTGGTGCAGCCCAGACCTGGGTCTGCATCCTTGCCCAGTATACCCAGCTGAGGCTCAGTTTCCTCGTCTGTAAACGGGGAATAAGCTACTTCCTACCTCCTACCTCCTAGGACAGCTGTGAGGGTTAAACGGGCTCACGCTGGCAAAGCACTGATGCAAGGTTGGCACTTAACCAGCAGCAGAGCCAAAGTCCAGTCGTGGATATGGTGTAAGGGGGCCCACCAATTATAAAGGCCACCCTTTGAAGTCATCTTGTTTCCCAGAGAGGCCAAGGTGGGGGCTGTGTTGGGCCTCTGCTCAGGCCCAGCCCCTCCTATGCCTGCCCTGGGCTGTGACAACCTTGGCCGGCTTACCCTCCCTCCCCCTCTCCTGCACTGCTCCTCCCACCAGAACTCCACCCTGCTCAGCCCATCTCTCTTGCCCCCTTGCTTTGGGGTTGGGCTCATCTCCTAGGCCTGCAGTGGTCCCCTGGCCTGGCCTGGAAGGAAGTGTCAGGTCAGAGGCAGGCCAAGCTCCCATGCGTGGAGAGCTACCACCCTGGCCCTGCTCGCTGGGATTCCCTTGTAACTTCTCCCTCAGGGAACGGAGGCTCCTCCCAGAGCAAATGACTCCAAGACAGCTGGCAGGGAGCTCTGTGGGCCCAGCGAGTTACCCGCCTCCCTGAGCCCTGCCCAGCCTGCCTCGGCCTTTGGGGTGGGGGTTGGGTGGAGGGGGAAGGGAGAGGCTGCCCAGGCGAGTCTTCTCCAGAGTCAAACCGCTCCCCATCCACCACAAAATGCACACCGAGAGGCACAGCCCCTCGTCCAGAAGGCATCTATCTGTGTACAGAGGGCCCGCGGGGGAGGGGCAGAGAATGGTTTACAGATGGCCTTGTCTATCCACACAGCCTCTGTGCGGAGAAAGATAAGACCCCAACGCCAAGGGCTGCCTCACAGCAAGGTGACCAGATGGCTGGGATAAGGATGGGAAGGAAGCTCCTCATTGTCTACTCATTCGCACCTTTTGAATTTCCAGTCATGTGAATTTATTAGCTAAGTAAAAATAACTAAAAAGAAATAAATACATACAGTCATCCACAAATCTATAAATACATACACCAAAACATATACCTCTATACACATGCATACACGTCTATACACAGACGTGGTGGTGGGTATCTGGAAGTCATGCCTATACAGCAGCCTGATTTCCTCTTGGGGAACCACTACCCTCATTCTCAGTTCATGTAGTTTGGATGGTAGTGACCTTAACATCCCCCCAACTCTGAGGGTAGGTGGATGACACAGCCTCCCAGTCAGAGCTCAGGGTACTCCTGGCTATGATGATTGGGTCAAGCTTGGGCGTATGACACAACAGAGACCAAGGAAAGCCCTTTCTGTGACTTTTGATCCTGCTGCAAGAAAAGAGACTTTCTCTGGTGTCTGGTGTTGCTCAGTGGGCAGAATATCAGCCTGGTCCAGCCAGCAACCATCTTTGCTGGGAGCCAGGGGACATCTTGCCTTGGAATGAAGCCAATATTGATGGAAACAGAGGGAGGTGGGGTTGGTGCGGGGAGAGAGAGAGAGACAGACAAAAACAGAGACACAATACACACACACACACAGGCCGACGGAGAAACAGGCTGTCTTTTGACATAGCTTGAAACTCTGGATCCAGCCATGCCTGAAGTAGGTTATAGTCCATGAACTGGCCAGTTACAGGAGCAGACAACCCACAGCCTGGTATTTTTCCCTTCAGTCTGTTTGGGTTGGGTTTCTGTCCTTTACAACTGAAGAAGTTCTGAGTGCATACATATTTACATGAAGCTGATTTAGGATGAAAGGAAATATCTGGAACAGCCCGGAGCAGCAAAAAGAGTGGCGAAAAGCCTCCTAAGAGGTTCCCCATAAGTCTCACCTTTCCCTCCTTCTCCCTAGAGGGTATGGGAACCGTATACATTCAAGCCTTGGGTCTTGTTGCTCCTTTGTTTAGCAGTGGCTCACAGCCCCTCCGAGCCATGGCCTAGCTGTCTGGGCTGGTCAGAGCAGGGTCCCCGTCCACTTGACCATGCCCATTTGCTGGCCTTCCTTCTCCCTTCATTCTTTTGGCCACCATCTTGGTTATCTTGATTTTGGGCCGTTGAAAACACACTGTTTCCTTGCGTTATGAGAAAGAGACCCCAGAAGAGCCTGAACCAGAAGTGAGAAGACCTGGGCCCAAGCCTCTCCTTGTCGTGCGACCTTGGGCAAGCCTTTCAATGCCTTCATTTTGACCTTCATTTTTCTCCTCTTAAAAAGAGGCTCTATCATACCTGCTCGGAACTTCTTGAGGACAATGACCTTGCTCGTCTGCTTTCCCTTCTCCCTTCCTCCTTCCCTTCCTCTCTTCTTGTCTTTCTGTCCAACGGCCTTCAGATGCAGACAGTTGAGTTAATCATACACCTCAGATCATGTTACACTACCATCCTCATTGATCCAGGCATAGAGCCCTCTTGTTTTATTTATTTTTAAATTTGTCCTCTATTTCCCCCATCCTTACTCTATTCTTCCCTCCCTGTCCTACCCCCAGGTCCGGCACCTACTTTAATGTATATCCTTTGAAAGACAAGTGGTGTTTTTTATGCTTATAAGATATACGGTATACATGTGCTTTCAATTTATACAAATAGTAATTTAATATAAAGCCATAGATCTTATTCCTTTTTCACTCAACACTATGTCTTAAAGATCTGTCCACGTGCTGTATGTAAATCTGGTCCATTGCTTCTGACTGCTACAAGGAATTGTATCATATGGATCTACCACCATCATATGGATCTGTCGTGTGCATCCACTACCATCTTACTTCTCCTTTCCCCTTGTGAGGGATGCCCAAGTTGTCCCCCACTCTCTGGCACCGCAGATGCAGCTGTGAGAGGCAGCCTCAATCATGCCCCGTCAGGAGCCTGTACAAGAGATTCTCTGGGCTGAAGACTTAGGGGGTTTCTAGGTCATAGGATTTGCACAGACTTCATCCTTCTAAGCATCATCAGATAATTCTCCAGAACGACAGGCTCACCTAGCAGTCCCACCAGCAGTGCATGGGCACTCCCATTTCCCCACATCTTCTGCAGCATCTGGTTTTATTCAACTTTGTAAGTTTTGCCGACGTTTTAGGTGTGAAGTGATGCTGTTTCAATTTGCATTTCTCTAGTAACTCATGGGAGCGACTCTCTCTTCATCTTCTCGTTAGTTATTAGGGGTTTCCTACCTATGAATTGCTTACCTATATAATTTGGCCTATGTTTCCCACTGGTTTTCCCTGTTTTATTTTTTAAAACAATCTCAAAGAGTTCCTTATCTGTTTTGGTAACAGTGAACACAGACAAATACCTAATGAAGACCACAGACAAAGGCAACTTATGACAATCTGCAACTTTGAATATTGTTTATTTTTTCCCCTTAAAACTCTGGTTCACTTACTACTTTTTGAAATAAAACAATCAAGCAGAATGGTTTTGAAGCAAATGAACGAAAAAAAAAGTATACTTTCAGTTCCTTGTCTAGTTTTGCCAGAGACAGGAGGAGAGGAAAAAGAGACCAAAGGATGAAAAGATAGTTTAAAAGAATGGAAAGAAAAAAACCAAAAGAATCTAAGAGAAGAGTTCAGAAAAAGAAAGAGACAGTGATCAGGGAAGGAGCTAGACAAATAGACACAGAAGGAAAGAGGAGGAGAACAGTAGAGGAGGAGGAGGAGGAGGAGGAAGGGGGAGGAGGGGGAGGGGAGAGAAAGCAGAAAAAGACAAAATGAAATAGAGGCACAAAGACAGACAGCTGGAGAGAGAAACGTTTTAATGAATTTTGAGCCTGTTCCGAATCCCCCTGCTCCACCGACTTATCTCACCCTCTCCTCAGCCTTCCGGTCTTTCTGGATCTTCTTTCCAATGTCCTCTGGTTTGATGAACTCAGAGGAACCCATTTCTCGTCCGGTAGCTGGTGCGCCCGGATCTGACTTTGTCGACACAATGTTCAGGGCTCTGAGGCCACTGTTTCCAGTTCCTTCCATCTCCTGCCTAGTGCTTTGCCACTTCTGGCTTGTGCATTATTCTCTAGCAGGCATTTGGGAAGGAACTTGCTCCCTAGCCAGACTGCGAACTTCCTACGGGCAGAGTCCACTCGTGGCTCGGCGTCTGACCTCTCCCTGGGGCTTGCGCCTCAGTTCCAGTCCATAACCATTTCCTGAGTGGAGGAACCAAGGCATCCCCCTGCATCCACCTTCTCAGCACATAGCATGCTGCGATGACCCGCTACAAGCCAACCTCTCAACTTCTCAGGGCTATTTCTCATGAAATGGCTTGTCCGAGCGCCAGCCTGCCAGCTAAGTACGAAGGGCTGCATCATCTCCCTACATAGAGTCTGCAGAATGCCGATGCGAAGGCAAATGCTGTAGTCCTGGTTTGGTATGGATGCATTTCAAACCTTGCAAACGATCTGATGAGCAGAGGAGAGTGTGGTCCCGTGAGCAAGTGCAGCGTGAGTCTGGAAGGCGGTCCTCCTTCCGGGGGAGCATTTGTTCTGGAGTTATGTCACAGGCACCTCTGCCAAGGGAAATAAAGCAGTTTGATTCTTTTGAGAAAATGTGTATGGGGGTGCCTGTCGGGAGGGTCTGGAGGCTTTGTGGAACCTTGGCCAAAGATGGGAGCCCTCGAAAAGGGCAGCACGCTTCCCTGGTGTTTATTGAATGGCACGGGAGGAGAACTGTGTTTCTCCCAAACCGTGGGATTCCACTTCACAATTGCACATTCTAGAAACTGTGGGAGTGGGCAGGGGAGGGGGGACTCCACAGAGCTCACAGCGGCAGCCCCTGCTGCTTCCTGTAT